ATTATAAGATCTCGTTTGTAGAGTATAAATGAGGTCTTATAACTAGGACCGAAAATAGTAATTGACACTATGACTCAAGATAGATGCCTTGCCATCTCAAAATTTACAAACAAAATTAAACTAATTTTTAAACCTATAGACAGGGGGACTGACAAGGACACTATAACCTGTTTGGAATGACTTATAATGTAGTTTTTTAATCGTAATCTATGAAATATGAAATAAGTATGTAATTAAAAAAAATTTTATCTTAACTTACGTAAAACATGTTTATAAATCATTTCTATCGTGATCACAATCACAAACAGAGCCTATATCACTATCATGCGCCATAATGCATGGATTGTAATTATTATCATATTTTCATTCTCACAAATCCACGTCAAATGCGAGAATCCCAACGACATCCACACAAGCCTGCCTATGAAATTACAAGTACTCCTTTAGTTTTATTTACATAATAGAAAGAAAAATTATTTTTTGATCTTATTTATAGGGCATTGAGAAAATTTTTTAGTATACGTGTATAATTTTATCCTTCATTTGTTATTGTGTTGATTTTGTTTACATAAGGTATAATGTATACTAAATAAGGATAAACTTGAAAAGTTATTAAATTTTAAATAAAATTTAATAAAGTTTAAAGTTTTTCTTGGTTTTTGTGAAATATATTAGAAATAATTTATAAATAGGATTGGAGGAGTATATGTTTAAAAAAATAGACAAGCGTAATGTGGCTTGGCATGCAAATTATGTTCCGGAGAGACGGGGCGCGTGGGAGAAATTAGTACACTATCCTAAAAATTACATAACTAATTCATAAAAATTTAAAAAATAGTTAACTTAGTTAGTATTTATGAAAAAATGTGTATTGAGTTTACTAAAATATCCATTTTAATCATTTGCATCTCTACTATTCCCTTAAAGAAAATCACTATTAATATATGCAATTAATGAGACTAACTTAAAATGTGGACACCTCTCCTACTGTAATTTAAATCCTAATTTATCACATTGCAAAGGGTTAATTCTTTCTATTAGATCTAGCTGCGTTTTGAGTTAGAGATGATCCTATTCCCATGGTCCCTGAGCCTTCGTAAGAAGCAAACATCGGATCCTAAGGTTTGTGGGGGCCCAATCCTACCAATTTTTTCAACCCTCAGGCCCACGAACTCTTTAAGTCACATACTGGGCCTACATAGGGGTCAACAGCATGGGCCAATCTACCAATATGAGGGGCCTTAATATTTTCAATATGGGCTGCTTATAATAAAAACCCCACGAATGCCTTTGCGTGGGTATAATTTGACGGTAAAACGTTGACTGCTCCCTTTTCCACACCAGACAAGAAAAAGAAAGGGAAAGCGGAAAGTGGCAAATCTCGGCCGTTCCCCTATTCGTTTGTTTCCATGTGGCTTGCAATACAAAATTAATCCATCGACTCAAGTATAAGTATATTTACTTGTGTGAGAAGCCGAAAAGCTCCTCTCCCGATTACCGAATCAAGCTTAAGAACATTTTTAGACAAGGGAGAACAGCACAACCTTTCAATTAGAAGAATTATTTTCCTGGCAATTTTGATGCAGATAATACATTATTTCTGTGCAAAGGCTTGTACCTGTCTCACTCTAAATCTGTCTCCTCCTGAAGATTAATGGTTAATCCCACGGGCAAATTGAGGGAAAAAAATTAATTGCAGTATAAAATTTAAAAAAATAATTTGAGTGAAGTATAATATAATTAACCTATCCAGTTGTCCACGCTAAAATCCCCCTTAATAAATGTTTATGCTTGAACGACCAATTACTTTCTTCTCTCTATTAAAAATTAAATCACTTAAGTTGCTGGCCAAAAATCAAATATCGATGGAAGACGACGTTTCGGACCCGGTCATGTAATTTTCTCCTCACCTTGCAAGTCCTAACTCATGTTTTGGATCCCTTGCCCATCTCGCAGTGTGGGTAGAGCGTTCAGAGATAATTTTTTTGATTACTAGCTTATATATAAAATGAAAAATACAACACCTTAGCTTATATATAAAATGAAAAATATAACACCTTAGTTTCCATACAAATAATCCTAACATCAACTAGGAACAACTAAGATCTCCAAAACTAGCACACGACAGAGCATAGCGATCAAGTCATGCGATCAAAGTGCATAGCGTATTTTGGAGCGTAGCAAGATCATGTAGGCTCTAAATGGCAATAGACTGCCATTATAACACATAATTAAACCAAGCGGAGCATTATGAGCTGGCAAATGAACCTAAATTTCAGGAGCCTTTTCTTTTATATTTATATTTAGAACAAGATATATATTAAATGGGAGGAGTACCTTAATAGTTCAAGAGTTTGCGTAAGTGTTGATTGAAGGATGAGAAGTGTCTAAACATAAAAGCAGCCGCCATACCTTTTAGGGTCTGTTTGGCTCAATGAGATAAAGGAGAGACGAGAGATTTTAATGAAGGGGAGGGGAGGAGAGAAGAATAAAAAGATTTTAATATTACCTTGTTTGGATTTATAAAAAAAGAAGGGAGGGGAGGAGTTTTAATATTACTGTCTGGTTCATGAGAGGAGGGGAGGAAAACATATTTTAACATGAATAATTTTGTCATTGTTTTATTTAAGATATGGGTATAATAGTCACAATCAAGGTACTGAAAACCGGACCGGTCATTGAACCGGTTGAGACAGTAAGTCAAGGGTTAGTGATTCAGACCGGAGTCAACTCAGAGTCAGACCGGTGATAAATAAAAAAATACAATTTAAATAAGGGGAACAAAAGAATTCATATTCGTCTATCAAAAAACTCACTTTAACTAATGTATTGATTATTAATAAATGAAGTTATTAAAAATTGTTAGATATATTGATAAATCATAATTGTATATATTTATCCTCTTCACCAAATTTTTAGTGATGAATAGCGGTTAAGTGAGCTTAATTAAACCATTTTAAATTTTATTAGCAACTTTATATTTGTGAGAATTAATTGGTTGAATCCTAGCCATTTATGATTAAATATTTTTTTAAAGATTTTTACACACATGACTATTGAATATTATTTTATTTTGTGCAAATTTTTAGAGTTTAATTGAAGACCAATGATATAGAAAAACTGAATTCAAATGGATCAATTTTTATTATCTTAAAATTTATTTCTCTTGGGTAAATTAATGTAAATAAGAATGAGGGAGTTTAAGGATAGTTTTGTTATTTTAATATTTAATACTAATACTAGTTTTTTGTTTTTGAGATGGTGGGGTCCACTTTTAGGGATTAGAATTGGAGAAAAGAGGGAACGAAAGTGACGGAAGTAGTGGAGGTTGTGGCTGAAGCAGAACGAAAGAAAGAAGAGAAGAACCGAAAACCAAAACGAATGAGACAAGTTTGTAGATAAGTGTGAAGCTGAGGAATAGAGGAGGAGCACACTGTTAATCTTTTCCTTTTCTCACAAGCGATCGTTTCTACAGATCCTAGTCTCACAAGCCAATGGCTCTCACTCACTGTCATACTCACTATGTGTTCCTTGCTAAAGCTTTTGTTGTAGGTTTCATTGAGGTAGTTGTATGTTGCAGCCTTCAGTTTTTCACCCTATCAATTCTTTCCCCTTTCTTCCTTTTACCTACTCCATCATCGTCTCCAGAGCAATAAAACCACGGGAGACTCCTTCTTCCACTCCATTTGAAGCGAGATCTTTACTGAATGAAAAAGATAACCCGGTAAACTGCCTAACCCAGCGGTTTACCCGGGTTACTGCCGGTTCCTGCCGGGTTAGGCTGGTTTATGTCGGGTTACTGATCATCCGGTTTAGGTAAGGGATCGGACCGAACAAATGGCCGGTTCGTCGGTTTCCGGTTTGAACTGGCCGGTCCGGTCCAGTTTTCAATTCCATGGTCACAATATAACAAAATATGAGTATAATGGTCATAATATGACAAAATATTATTTTTTCTCTTCAAATCCTTCCAATTTTCGAGAGGAAGTTGAGGAGGCCCTTTCTTTCTAAAATTTGTGTTACCAAACAAGAAGAAATGATTAAAATCTTTCCCCCTTCCTTCCTTTTCCAATCTCTCGTACCAAACACACCCTTAGTCTCATCATTAAACTTATCCCCAGTCCACCAACACAATCCAATGCACCCCAGCAATGCAATCCGCAGGGTGTCATATACACGGTAACCTAATGAAGTACACATGCTTAAAGAGTTTTCCATCATAAAAAATAACATATCATACGTCATAATTTATAATTCAAAATACTCAAAATTGCACCCAAAAAAATCAAAACCGTTGATTTTAATTCAACAAAAACCATTTTAAAAAGTAATGGCTAGAATTTAGCTATCACCTGTTTCTTGCTAATAGTATAATTACTGTATTAAAATTTTAAACAGTATAATGTTTGGCAGACATGTTTAACTTTCTTAATATATGCTTTGACTGAAAAAAAAATTCATAATAAATGCGTAGATAATTTTCACCCAGGAGCGAACCTCAGTACCATGCTCGTTATTTAAACCCCCCTTAAAAAAAAAAACAAAAAAAATAAAAACATTTGCTAAGGTGGATGCAACGGGAAAAAAATTCTAATTATATTCCACATGCAATGCAGAGAATCCTGGCTTTGGGTTCAGACAGAAAAGCGGAGGAGCTTCCTCGTCCGACAACAAGCCCAAGTGATTTATTTATTTTATTTTATTTTATTTTTTGAAAAATCACACTCAAACACGAACAGAGATTTGCAGTTTGCCTTTAGTTTATATAGCATACAAAAAGGGATTTACAGTTCGCCGGGGAAAAAAAAAAAGGGACTTCCGCTTGCAAGTGGATGTGTTGGGAAAAAACAACAGCAACAAGGGAGCGTGAGGACGGTTTTGGGGTTTAATACGACGCCGTATTTTGGGTCAGTTAGGCTGCAATATCAAAGAAGCGTCAGGGGTAAAACCGACAATCTGAAACTAGGCATCAAAACTCCCCCGACCAATGGACGATTTGACTCTCATATTTGCCCTCACCGGCGCGCTTCCTCTCTGCTACGTTGCCGCCTTCCTCAACTCCTCCCAATTCCAGCCTTCGAAGATCTGAGGAGTTTGGGGAATCCTCACCCCATAATCCACTCCCACAAATACTCTTTTATACTTGCCGCTTCTTCTACTCCCTGTGAAAGGTTCGAACTTGATGTATGTCTACTTTTTCCACTCCATCTGATGAGCCCAAAAGTTGCATCTCATTGATTACAACATTCTTTTTGCTTGTCGATCGATTTCCGCCATCTTTGCTACTTAGATGTCCGTAATTTGTAATTCCTGGTCTGCGTTGCTGTCTGTTGTAACACAGATCCGTTTCTGTGAGGGGAGTGTATGGTTTAGGAGCACCGCACAAAAAATTTTACATTTTATTTCTCAGAACTCGTGTAAAATCTCGAACTACTTGGAGAATTAAAATGAAGTTAACCAGGCCCTATGGGATGGTTTATTCTAGTCTAGTGCATTACAAGCATCAAGGAAAGGCAAATGACTCTGGGTCGGGATCCCTCCCGCGGGGGGAAAGGAAAATTTTTTTTTTGAACCCCTACCCCAGTTTCTGCGCTTTAAATTGTTTAGTATTCTGCATCATATTTTTCTGTTAATATACAGGTGGCAGATAGGCGTAATGGTACAATCAACCTGCGCGCGGTTCCTTATTGGAGCCTTTTGATAACTCCTTTGTTTCTTTGAATGTGATGTCCTGGAAGTATTTGATGATTGTGATTTTTTTTCATGGCCTTTTTGACAACGTTTTTTGTATTTGTGGTTATTATTACTTCTCAAAAACGTGTTCTGGCATGTGCAATAATGTAATACGCTATGTGCTATACTGTTATGTTCATTCCTCATTATGGGTGTTTCCTTTTTCTGCTGAATGCTGATGCTCTTGCTTTCAAAACTTATTCATAATCCGAAGGTTTGGTGGACTACTCAATGTGATCTCCATCTCTACAATCAATGCGTTTGCAAATATCAACTGTTGTTTTTGGGCCTTTTGCATTATTGTTTAGTTGGAAAGTCCATGTAAACTTTGTGCACTTGTAAATTGTATTGTATTTATATTATATCGCTAAAACCTCAATCATGACCTGTAGATTGCTAAATGATTTGATATAAATCTTTCTGCTTTGCAGTTTACAATCATGGCTGGCGTAGCACCAGAAGGGTCACAATTTGATGCTCGTCAATTTGATGCTAAGATGAATGAATTGTGAGTTTCCTTTCTTATATTTCTTGATAGATGTCTGGAGATAGATGTACTAGGATTGACATGTACTGTTAGTTTGGTTATATGAAGTGGGTCTGTCAAATAACATGTTATACAGCCACATTTTACTTGCTTGTGATGCTTATTCTTGGTTTGGTGTGCTGGTGGTTGCAGACTTGGAAATGAAGGGCAGGACTTTTTTACTAGTTATGATGAAGTTTATGAAAGCTTTGATGCTATGGGATTGCAGGAGAACCTTCTGAGAGGCATTTATGCTTATGGTATGTCAATTGATCTTGAATTTATGATATTAAGTGTGATTCAGATTCATAGTTCCTGCATGACAAGTTTGCTTTGTCATGATATGTTTCTATTTGCCTTTTATCTAATAACAGTATGCAGTGAAACTGTACGCCTTTGAGCATCTTAAATAGTTACTCTTTCTATTTTTGTTTTCATTGATGCCTGGGAAAATGGGCAATGATGTTGTTTAACACCTTGAAAGGTTTCGAGAAGCCCTCTGCAATTCAGCAAAGAGGGATTGTTCCTTTCTGCAAGGGTCTTGATGTGATTCAGCAGGCACAATCCGGAACTGGGAAGACTGCTACTTTTTGTTCTGGAATTTTGCAGCAGCTTGATTACAGCTTAGTTGAATGCCAAGCACTGGTTCTTGCTCCTACTCGTGAACTTGCACAGCAAATTGAGAAGGTTATGAGAGCACTGGGTGACTATCTTGGTGTCAAGGTTCATGCTTGTGTGGGTGGCACCAGTGTTCGAGAAGACCAACGTATCCTCTCAAGTGGGGTGCATGTTGTTGTTGGTACGCCTGGTCGTGTGTTTGACATGCTTCGGAGACAATCTCTCCGTCCTGATTACATTCGAATGTTTGTGTTGGATGAGGCAGATGAGATGCTTTCTCGGGGTTTCAAGGATCAGGTTCTTCCTTTTTCCTGATCCTGCTTTTAAATTTTCTCCTATGTTGTTTTCCTGGTGTGACAAAAAAGATTTTGGATTTAGAGTGTTGCTTTTAAATATTCTTGACTTGTTACTTCTGTCTTGTCAGTTGTCAGTCATTTTGTCGACATGATACTTCGAACATGTGTGTATTGTGAACTATATTGGTTTCCGATAAGCTTGTTACTAGTTATGTTACAGAACAGTCATTTCATACTGCTTCTCTGGTGATCTGAGTCGATTTGGTCTTGTAAGGTATTTGACCCCTTGATCGTGGTAGATGTTTAGTGAGCTGCAACAAAGAATGTAATTGCCCACCTTTTTGAACTAACAGAACAAGAGGATGGATAGGAACTGACATTGGTTGATTCCTTTTTGTCTCATTCTTTTCTTAATTCCACTTAACCATTGCTACTTGTCTATGAAATATCCCCCCCCCCCCCCCAAAAAAAAAAACCTCAATACTTGCTCTGCCAAGCGTTAGCTTTTTTTTATGTTTTATAGATAGGGAGCTTTCCATACTTCAGAGTGCTTATATTCCGTCTCTCTCTCTCTCCCTTTTTTTTTCGGTTGGTTGGATGAGAAGTGTTGAGGGCCTTTTTAAAGGCTTCACTTTTTGTAGGATAACCGTGATGTAAACTTGTAATTGTTTATATGACGAGTCTTAAAAAAGCAAGAATCTATAGGTAATTTAATTTTTATCTGCCTTTTGGTTTAGTAGTATATCCTTCTGATATGTTTCTTCTTATTCTTCTCCTTCTAGATCTATGATATTTTCCAGCTGCTGCCACCAAAAATTCAGGTTGGGGTTTTCTCCGCCACCATGCCCCCTGAGGCTCTTGAGATTACAAGGAAGTTCATGAATAAACCTGTGAGGATCTTGGTGAAGCGTGATGAGCTTACCTTGGAAGGGATCAAGCAATTTTACGTCAATGTTGAGCGGGAGGAATGGAAGCTGGAGACACTTTGTGATCTTTACGAGACTTTGGCAATTACCCAGAGTGTTATCTTTGTGAACACCAGGCGCAAGGTGGATTGGCTTACGGATAAGATGCGCAGCCGTGATCACACTGTTTCTGCAACCCATGGAGACATGGACCAAAACACCAGGGATATCATCATGAGGGAATTCCGTTCTGGATCTTCTCGTGTTTTAATCACCACAGATTTATTGGCCCGTGGAATTGATGTCCAGCAAGTTTCGCTTGTGATTAATTACGATCTTCCAACCCAGCCAGAGAACTACCTGCATCGAATTGGTCGTAGTGGTCGGTTTGGAAGGAAGGGTGTTGCTATTAATTTTGTGACGAAGGACGATGACAGGATGCTGTTTGACATTCAAAAGTTTTATAATGTGGTGATTGAAGAGCTGCCAGCCAATGTTGCTGATCTCCTTTGAATTGCTTTTGCTGTGGAGGTCGTGCTTCAGGATTTATTTATCGTCCGGGGCCTCTTGCTGGTATGAATTGAACTTGTCCCTAACTTACAGGGATCAGGGTCTTGTGCATTTGATGTAGGCTTTATTTCTAATTTTGGGTCTAGCAGAAGTTGGTGTCGCAAATTTTGCTCCGAGTTTGCTTGTATTTCTAGTGTCTTGAGAATGGTTGAAGAACTCTGTTATTTTGGATCTAAAGCCTCTTTTTTTTCTGTTTGGTTTTATCATCTGTGTGGGGTGGGTGGTTATGTAGAGTTCAAATGCTGGAAAAATATACTGGGCTTGGCTTCATTGTCACCCGCTTGAACTATGATTCATATTCGAATCTGTCATGTTTAGTCTATATTCCCGTCCACGTGCCTGTGGATTGTGTTTCAAAGTGCTATGTATAGCCAAGGGTTCATAAAAAAAAGCCAAATAAGCAGAACAAAATGTGGAACTGGAAACTGACTAGGTTTAAAGTGACACGTGATTGTGTCTGTTGACCGTTACACCCATGATCAGTAGTTGAATTTGATTTAGTGCGTGTCTGGTTGAGTGGTAACAGTTCAAATAGTTCTTTTGAACCCAGTAAGTGATTATAGGGTAGGGTATATTTATTCTGTTTGGCTAAACTTTTTGAAACCCGATGAATTGTGATTTTAGTTTCGCACGTTTGAGCATAAGCTATTAGGAGTAGTTTTTGCGATTGGAAAATTACGATAGATGTTCAACAATTAGGATTTTTCATATCTACCCTAATAAATGATGATTATTAAATTAAAATTATATTTAAATAATAGTAATTATTACTTATGAGAATTATATTAAATTGGATTTTTCTTATTTATCTTTGATGCTTTTTTGTAATTGTACATTTAGCAGTGATTTTAATAAATGAAATCCAAACATTATTCATATCCTCAATGTTACTTATAAGAAAAAGTATCCAAAAAAAATATAATTAACTATTATTATTTTTAACTAGTTTCATTTGTAAAAATTATGATGATATAAAATCATGGTCGTTCTCCTAATTCAAAGTGGCACTTAGAATTAAAATTTCGTGACCGAATGTCAATGTGGGTTATAGGAGGTACACAAAAAAAAAAAAAAAAGCTAATGAGGCCTGAGTAAGAAATTAATTAGACGAGTATATTGGGATATCCGCTCGTTCGTTCAGTTTCGGTACTAGAAAAGAAACGTGATAGTGCCTTGCATTGATGTGGTTTTCCTCGTTGGCTGAACGATCGCGGACTGGCGTCTGTTTTAAAGATTGCGTAACCACTCACATCTTGAATATCAAATTGGCATATAATAGAGATATGCGTTTCTTATCTGTGCTGCTGTTATATTAGCATGCAAGATCGCCAGTTAATGTGATGATTTGTTCTTTGAAAACGAGAAATGCATTAAGTATTACAACCTTCGGTTTTAATTATAGTAGTATTTCGGACAAAATCCTATAATTAAGAGGGGTAGCTTATTCTGTAATTAATGTCACGGCGGAGCAAGATGTCTAATAAATTCTGATAACTCCTGCCGTACGCCTTACTATTAGGAAAACGTTTTATTTTTATCTCGACTGTGAATCTGATAGAAAGTATTGTTGTAAATTCAAATCTTTTTCTTCAGAAAACAGATGCCTCCTCTCACTTTTATGAAAAATGAATAGATAGATCCTACATCTTACGTTATTTGCTGAGTAAATCCATAAAAAAAAAAAAGGTGAATTCGGAGACTTCGGTCAACAAACAGGGACCATCTTATAAATTGGATCTGTCATTTGTTGAAAGTTTGACTTGTGGAAAAGAATACAGAACACGCAAACTTTATTGTAGATAAATCATCTTTAAGGAATCTGTTGTCTGGGTCAAAAATCTAGATTGAAAAGCAAAACCCTTGACAGTGTCTAAACCAAATTGCGACCGTATGATTACCCACAAGACACGCCAACTAGACAAGAAAAGAAATTAATCAATTATCGCCCAAAGTCAGTCCACCCTTACTCGTACCATCGAATTAAAATCAGAAAAAAATATAAATATAGTTGAAAGTAAAACGAAGCCAATCAACGGGCAGCTTTCGAAAGATCAGAGCTACTCTAGTTCTTGTTGGACCCCATTTTGCTTCCTCAAATTCTGGTCATCTCTCTGAATAAAGAAGCTTCAACAGAGACAAACCCATCGACCTTGCCGCCCAATTTCCATGGAGGACTACGACAGATCTAGGCCTTATGGAAATGGGCAAACGATGCAGATAGAGAGCTACTATGGAGGGCCTGGACCCTGTGTTATGAGGAGCTACAGCACTTCTTACGTACAAACGCAGATGGGTCCTATTCCGAGGGGCTTGAAGTTGAAGAAGGGCAAAAGCATTGCTGGGTCTTCTTTTTCCAAGTCTTGGAGCATCAAGGACCCTGAGCTTCAGAGGAAGAAAAGAGTTGCTAGCTATAAGATGTACTCTGTGGAAGGGAAGGTCAAAGGTTCACTGAGGAAGAGCTTCAGGTGGCTTAAGGACAAGTACTCGCGGGTGATCTATGGCTGGTGGTGATTTGGTGGGTTCTGTTCTCTGATTTTTCGTCTGGATCTGAAATCATGTTCACAAGTTTGAATTTTGTGGTGGTGAGGAGAATTCTATACTTAAGGGGTATGATCAGTTTTATTTTCTGTAAATTGGAAAACCTGCTACTTCGTCGGATCCTGAGAGATCCTTCTTCAAGGTGAAATCATAAATATTTGCTTCTGTCTTCAATGTTTCTCAAGCCTTGTTTATATACTAATCAATAATGAAAAGCAAAAAGCTTTAGTGTTAAAGAGATCTTGATATTTTATTTCCATTCCGTTTCTCCTCTTTCTTTTGGCTTCATGTAGTTCGTAAGAGGTGAGACAGCACTTGACAAGCTATAGAAGAATTCATTGCTTTTATGATTCTAACTGTTCAAGGTAAACACGTAATTCAAATAACTGAAAACAGATAATGTTCCATGTTTCACAATTTTCGAAGTACAAGCGAATATGTCTTCATGGGGCTGGTTACCATAGCCATCACTGGTAGCAGAGCGCCTCCATGGATGTTACAATTGGGTCCTGACTGTGGAAGATGGATCTTATTTAGCAAACATTAGCCATACATATCTCGCGTCCAGAATTTTCCATTGGGTGTTTTGAGGTAATTTTCAGACATAATCTGGCTTCTGGCTGAAGTTGCCAATAAACTTCTTGGTCATAAATTTCTTATAAGTTGTATTGATGAATGCGGTATCATTCAACACTTTTCTCGGTTACCCTTCAAAGTAACAATGCTTACCAACTTCCGGATCTAGGCTGAACAGAGGTCATCTCTTTTGATCTATTTTCAATCACTGCATGAAGAACGACGCATCAATTATTCAGTATCAATGAAGGCGTTTATGGTGTTCTTTATTTTGAGTAATCACAATGTAACTCTCACCAAACAACGAGCTCAAATCCAACCAACAACAAAATTGATTAGAGAACAAGATGTGCCCGTATTAGTGCTTCCTTGGCACTTACTCTAAGTTGGCAGCTATATCTTGCGTGGTGTGAATTATCTTGTGGAATTCCAGAACAACCTTGTCACCATACGAGGACATCAAACTAGTAATCCAGACTGTCCATTTTGTCCGGGCCCAAAACCACTTGAACGAAGAGTGCAACGTGTACTTATTACACGCCAGCTCATACGGACGGACCACAAGCCGTTGTTGTGCTCAATACTGCATTTCATCGTATTTTGCCTTTTCTTCTTCGTTTTGATGCTTCCCTTAGCAGCTGTCTGCTATGAATGGAATGCTTCACTTGCGTTTCAATCACTTTTCGTTGAGATTCTCCCAATTGGAAGGCAAGTGTTTGGTAGCGTTAGCCACCCAATAATTTCACCCTTATTCTAAGATTCATATGATTTTTTTTTCAGGAAAAAATGTTTTTAACTACTACTCCTTAATATAAAACCCTGTTTGACTTTTATTTTGATCCTAAATATAAGACTCCAATCCACTTTGTCTCTTATATTTATACATTTTTTTTTCAAAGTAACCCTTCTAATAATAAGAGTTCTAGTCAATACACTTGATTAGCAAGAATATTTTAGGAAAGACAACACCTATTTAGGACAAATAACTAACTCAACTTACTTCTTTAATCTCCTCAAATTAGTCAACTGATTCTTATAATTAGGACAAGAGGTAGTATTTATTTATCAAAATTTTCCGCCATACATCTACATAATTTTTTATACCTACCGAAATCCGTTAGTTTTCTTTCTCCGTCTCTTCGCTAGATGCGCTTTCTTTTTCAGATTCCAATTTTAAAAATAAAATATCTCCCTGTATGTTACCATGAAGATAGTTATCTGTTATACGACGGCAATAAAAAATTATCTATCGGTAGATTAAGCGTAATAATTTACCGCCGTAATAAGGCAATCATAGCTGCCAGTTAATCTGTGCGAAATCTTTCATCCTTGTTTTTGGACTCGCCGTTTAGACCGGAGCCGAGGGGAGAGGATGTGGGAATCAATTTTTCTAACGGTGATTGCGACCGCCGGCAACAACATCGGTAAGATCCTTCAGAAGAAAGGCACGATCATTCTTCCTCCGCTCTCTTTCAAGCTCAAGGCATGTCTTCCGCTATATCCTTATTTCCCCTTTCTTCTTATTTTTCTGTCGGGTCTTCTATTGTGTCACTAACATTATGGTTCCATTTCAATATTGTGCGTTTTTTAACAAGCAATTAACTGAAGGATATAGTTACTGTGAAGTTTATACATTTGTTCGCTGAATATCGTTGTTGTCATTTCGCCTTTATCCGGAGCTTAAACTTGTGAGGACGGATAATTTTTAATAATGGAATAGGATAGACGCCATTCATGTATCTGTGCCTCATTGTAGATGCATGCGATTTTGGGTCTGCAATGCTTCATAAAGCCGACTTGAATGAGAATCTGGAAATGTTTTTCAATTCCAACATCCCACTTTCCATTCAAGCATATATAGCTAAGAAGTGATTGTTCGGTTGCCAGTCAAATTGCTATGAACTCTTCAACGATTGTGTTTACAGGTCATAAGGGCGTATGCTTCAAACAAAACATGGGTGATAGGTTTCCTCATGGATATATTTGGGGCATTATTGATGTTAAAGGCATTGTCACTGGCTCCTGTAAGTGCTCTAGTTCATATCTTCAAGGGACAAATGGTGGGAAAACATGATAGCTTTCCCCCCTCCTCCTTAAATGCGTGTTCCTGCGACTTCTGTTTCATTCTAGGTCCAAGACAATTGGTCGTTCATATTTTTAAAAAAAAACAAAGAAAAGAAAGAAAGTTCAGCGGTGCTGGGGAAAGAGGTGAATATGGTGGAGATTTGAAACCAATATCACTGACTATAATTATAAGGCTGAACCTGTAGACGTAATAAAATAATGGAATTGAAACTTTTACCTTGGGATTTATTTTGAAGTGGTAGAGTGCTATAATATGGTGCATTAAAGGGCTGCTTAATTTGTTAGTATCTTGCCTTCCTTTTACTTTTATACGATAGTCTTTAAAGGCTCCTATGATTTTCGCTGACATGAGATAATAAAAAGTGGTGGCATTGTATATCTACGGGCATCTTAGTTACTACTTACTAGTGTACGAAACACGTCTTGGATGGATTTTGACAATCAATATTTTATAAAGATAATGAACCCAACAACTCCTTGAAGGGATTTCCTTTTCCTTCCCTACCAGTAATCGAGCTGGCAACCTCTAAGGCAACTTCAAACTAAGGGATTTCCTTTTAACTTGCTCTTCTTGCACCTTACTAGATTTCAGACCTTGGTAATTATGTTGGTTTTCCTTATATAGGTCTCTGTCATCCAACCAGTTTCTGGCTGTGGACTTGCAATTCTTTCTATCTTTTCTCATTTTTATCTCAAGGAAGTCATGAATGCTATTGATTGGATGGGCATTACCTTGGCGGGTTTTGGCACAATAGGTAATGTAAGTTTTTTTATCGCTCAGGAGCATTAAGTTATCCACTTCTGATTCCTTGGGGCAAAAACAATGGACTGAGTTCTAGGTAACAAGTAAAAGAAATCTAAGTTCCAGACTCATCGGTATTTGCATGTGCGTTAATAATTGATGGGAGAAAATTGTGAGTAGTTGACCATATTATGGAGAGCTATGAATTACCTAATTGTTCACAGCTAATCATCATACAGAATTTGGGTCAATGTGCAAAGATACTTTAATTGTTTTATTTGCCTGTGTAACAGAATTATTCTTGTTTGTCTGAGAAAAGGAATCGGTTGATATGTCAGAGTTTTCTCTGATTCCATTATCTGATTGTTAACCCAAAAGAAAGTCAATAGATGTATGCTCAAGTGTCATGAAATGATAATATCTTGTCTGTTTATGACATTCGGTCCATCTAAGTGTCATGGTATCAGTCCATGATTTATGTGCTAAGTGACCCCATTTGATCAAATTATGTGCTTTCAGCAGTGGTGAGTGCTCGGATATTATTGAATGAAGATTAAGTAGTCTGTTGCTACGTTCAATCTGGCAAAGTGTCATGGTATCAGTCTATGATTTATGTATTAATCTGACCCTATTCAATAAATATTATGTGCTTTCATCTGTAGATGACTGCTCAGATATTATAAATGACTAGTACGTAGTCTGTCGCTACATTCAATCCATGAAACTGTCATGGTGTCAGCTATGGTTTATATCGTATTGCAACCTTAATGTTCGTTGACCATTAGGTGGTTTCCTGTGTTTAGGAGTTGGTGCTGGAGGTGAGGAGCAAGAAGCTGCTGCCTTATCTATTTTTCATATCCCTGTGCTGGCATTTGCAGTTTTCATCTTGTTTGTAGGTACCCTGTTCATGCACCAACTTATTTTACTTCATGGTCGGAACTGCTTAAGTTCGCCATGTATTGTTTGTGTCACTTAATTTTGTTTAAACAAGCATGTGAAACAATGCTTCAATGAATTATGAAAGAAACAATGGTTTTTTTTTTTTTGGTCAGTATTCAAGAAACAAGTTAATCATTCTCAATTGAGTTTCTATCCCAACAAGGAGGTAAAAAGGTGTTAACTGAGTCTATAAGGGCCGGCAAATGCCTGTTTATCCTTGAATATGATTTCGAAAGTGCAATGTTATGCTTAATAGAGTTGCTGATATGTGATCAGTACATGAAGTAATATCTAGTTATAATTATAATATGTGACTTGTATTGGCAAAAACCTCATTTTGAAATTCAAACTGCATGTTGATTCCTTTTTCCTATGTTTGAATCCACGTATATGATATATTCAAAACTTAAATTTGGAAATTCGTGGATCTATCAATTTCCAACTTTCTCTTGAAGGTGATAGCAAAGTATATTTCTTGTCTCTTGGAATGCGCCAAGTACATTAAGCAGCATTATTCTTCCCTTTTCATTAAATTGATAGAATGATTACAATATTGGCTATATACAATGAGCTCTTGAACTGCTTACACAGGTTCTTCTCAACGGGTGGGTTCATATGTGCAAGCGTCATAGGAGGGAACAGGAGATGGTATTTATTTTTTACTCATGTTGGCTTATTTTCAAATTTGCATGTTCATTTTCATTTATAAAACCCCAATTTTTATTGTTTTATTGAAGTATCTTGTCTTCTTTTGAATGATACAGATGGAATATGATGTTGTTGAGGAAATCATTTATGGATTGGAATCTGGAATTTTGTTTGGGTACTGTATGCTTCCCTTATATATACTATCTAGCACGTCTATATTTTTTATTCTTGTCTGAATGCGCTCTTCATATGTTGTAAGTTCCTACTTTTAACATGAGGATGAAATTATGTGAAAAATCACATATTAAGTGGTATTACCTTTATCAATGTTATTTGCATGTGATGCAATTGATTGGAACTTCGAGTGAACTACATCCTAGAACCTAGCTCATGAAGTTGGAAAGCCCAGGGTCTATAGACCCAGCATCAAGATCCCATACTTTTGACGTGGGACTTAACTCAGGTCCCATACATGCAATAAGGTCCTTAAATTTGACCGCACTTTGCAGCCCTGCTCATGTAGGCTGCTGTTCTTGTTTTCTAGCCTTGGGTTGCCACTGCAATATTGGCATCACTGCTGATGCTATTAAAGTGGAAGGCTTTGGTACCAGTTGATGACAACTTTTGGGAGAACTATATCTGAAAAGCTAACCCATGAGGTTGAAGAGTCAAGGTCCCTTTAAACTTCACACTAGAATCTCATGCTTCTAATGTGAGACTCACGTCTCATACCTTGCAGTTAGGTCTTAACACAATTCGTTGTACTCCTCCGGTTCTTAATATAGAACCTAATTGTTGAGTTAATTTTGGTCCTAAATATAAGACCTATTTCTCCTATCTATCAATTTTTCCTAAATTACCTGTATGGATACTTCCTCAACTATAATCAAGTAGAAGAAGGAGGGAGGATATTAAAAAAAATGATTATGATGTTTTAAGAAAAACATGTCATATTTCTTATAATTAACTAACTTACCTAATCTAATCAAATTAATTAAATAGGTCTTATATTAAAGACTAGAGGAGTATTTTTTTTTTATTGTCTATGACTAGAATCATCCAAACTTTGACAGTACACCATATAAAAACATGATATACTGCTTTTTATTATCACATTAGATTCTGAAGTCTGAAATCAGTGCAATTAGAATGTTAAGTTTTTATGCTAGATCACTACTTTCTGGTGGTAATGAACGAATCTTCAGATTTGGATACGTAATACTCTCTCTCTGTTTGTGTGACACCATATGGCTACTTTTGTGGTGAAAAATTGTTTTAACTGTATTAATATGTCACTGCAGGATAGCATCTGTAATGTCAAAGATGGGGTTTTTATTTCTGGAGCAGGGTTTTCACAAACTGTTAGTCCCTGTTTGCATCTTGATCAGCGTGTGTTGTAGTGGTACGGGATTTTTCTACCAGGTATCAAGACTTGTCTATAGCACATGGGTGCGAAACCCTAGACTGGTCAGTGGAATTGGTCAGACTGGCGCTTAAGCAATCAGTTTGGTTGAGACCCTGAACTATCGTATGCCAATTATTGCATAAAGGGAAATGCCCTATAAGCTTGGCACTTGGGCATACAGAACCTACAAAAGAAAAAGTGGCCCAGCCACTATGCCAATTTGTGTTCCTCTTATAAGAGGTGCAAATTCAATATCTAAAATGAAATGTTATTTTGCTCCTGATCCACCTTGGCTGTCTTGAACTCGTGTCTTGAGCGGGACTCCGTAATTCTCCCACCATGAAGATAAGAGTTCGAGTGGCGAAATATTACTTTGTTCATGATTTATTAATATAACTAGAATTTCACCTCATAAATTGCTGGGACATTAATATTTCATGCGTTAAATTTTTAGAAATCGTATCAGGGTGCTGTAATAACCACAGACCTGTGGTGTCATCACCTGTCAATTTAACAAGTTGAACCAATCTTCCTCTCATCTGGCAACCTTTTCAAGTTTCTGGTCTGTGTTTTGGAAAAATTATACAGACCATCATACGTTTTAAGCTAGGGGTGCATCTGAACCCAGAAGAAAAGGAAAGGGGGGTGTGGTTACGGATGAGGGTGGAGGGGTTTCCGTCGAACTGTTTGTAAATTTGTCCAGTTCTTCCTGCTTCCAATTGCCCTTGAGATAAGTTATATAATATTTATCTTCCCCATTATGTAGACAAGCGGTCTAAAGCATGGGCGGGCTATTATAGTTTCTACGTGTGCTGCTGTGGCATCAATTTTGACTGGTGTGGTTGCTGGGATGCTTGCTTTGGGTGAGCGACTCCCTTCTGCTCCAAAAGCTCGCCTATTGCTTCTGCTTGGATGGTAATATAAGATGTTCAGCTATTGTTTTGTGCCCCTGCTACCTTCTTTTCTTCCTTTTTAATTTCAGCTGTGCTCTCTTCATTTCACGCATATGTATGGAATTGGAAATTGTTTGCACACATAGGACATAGATAGAACCTTCACACCGCAAGAAACTTGAAAATAAATGTGAAATAGTGGGTTTCATCTTTCTTTTATCTGGTCCACATTGAAAAGTTTAATATTCATACATTCCTTGATTTCAGTGGTTCCCCATGCAAAACAGACCACACATGGCATATAATATTTAATCTTCATACGTTCCTTGCTGTCAAAGGTTCCCAATGTAAAGAAGTTCCCTACTATCGCAAGATAGAACTACAGAAGACACGTGGCATATAGTTGTATATTACAAATACAAATAGTTCATCTTCCATGTCCTCGTCTAATTGTACTAAAGTCTGAAATATCACTTCCAATTCGGGAAGCTCATAAATAATTTTGTAACAATTTTTAGCACGCTTCCCTAAAAAATCTTTTGGGCTTGCGTTAATGGAAAAGAATAAGATTCGTCATACTTGGTGCAAAAACTTGATTTTAAGTAGGATGATGGGGGCCAGCTGATATTGAACTCGTGGTGTGATAGCTTTGATATCATGTCGGGTTATTTTTCTCATAGTTCAGGAAGGATCTGAATAATTTTATTGAAATCTAAGAGTCTTTATCTTGTTTGCTCAGCATTCTAAGAGATCATCAATGCTGTTTAATTGGATTGAACGTAGTACTTGTTTTTCAGACGAGATGAAAATCTTTAGGCTCATATCAGAGTTCAATATATCCCCAATATCTTTGCTGCAGGTTTTTCATTATTGTGGGGGTGATTTTGCTTGTTGGTTCCAGACGGCTAATCAGATTCCTTCCGTCACGTTCAAGACGCTTTATGAGAAGTGGTGCTGATAAGAGTTATAGCACTGGCCCTAGAAGATCTGGGGCTTCCTCTGTTAGGGAACCAAGCCCGAGTGCTGTCATTCAAGCAGCAACATTAAACCATTTGCTGTCATCATCTTCCAAAGAAAAAGCTTGATCTGACATCCAAAGGAAAGTTATCCCTATCTCCCCTAATTATTAAGATATGTTCTGACCTTCCTGTTATGGTTAGGGTGTATGTACAGGATAATGCTGCCTCGCCAGGGGATATGAATATTTTGGAATCATTCCATCTAATATATTATGAATACATTTTTCGTTTAACTCTCGCTGCGCCCTCTTGTATAAACAATATCCCAACTACCTTTTATTTTTCAATATCGTATATGACGAAGTACAATTTGGCAGGGAACAACCCAAGTTTAAAGCACTTGTGTTTTCTTAGATAACATACAAAAAAAATTGTTTCGGTAGAAATAAAATTATGACTTTAAAAGTTATTTTACGATATACGAAATAAATATATAGATAAATTTGTTTTTGTAGAAAAGAGGTTTTAAAAAGCACTTTTGTAACTTCCAAACACATACAACACAAAGCGCTTCTAAGGACTATTGCAGCCACGTTCCCTCTGGACACGAGTAAAAATGGGTAGCATTCTCTCCGGATTTGCAGAGTGGAAACAGTGGGTTACTTTCTTTGGATTTTTTCACTAATGCCTTTGGTTGTAGTTGTTGACGGCAAGTACCTCGAGATAAGTTTTAAGGTATATGGGGGATGAATAATTTGACAAGGTTCTCCATACGCTTAGGCTGGATAGGATGTAGAGAAAAGGCTATTTTCTTTCCTCTGTCGTCATTCTTTTGCCTCTCCACCCTTGTCTCCATATTCTATTGGGTAAAAAAGTTGCAATTCATCTTTGTTTCCTACAAGAGTTGTAGGAATGTTTCCATGTACGTGTAAAATTTTACCCAAAAAAGTAACTTTTTTTAAAAGGCAACAGAATTTTTATTTTATGCACATATGCGATATATATTTATCATTCATATAAAAAAGTAACAGATTTTATCATATATACTAAATTAATTAATTAATTAAAAATTAAAAATAGCTTCCAAGTATCATCCCTATTCCTGTTCTTCAATTCTTGGCCGAGAAAATTTTACTCCCGCCCTTATCTCGATCCGCTAAACCACAGATAAACCAATCCCACTAATGCAAGGACAACTCTTTCCGGTTTACATAATGTGAACACGGGAACAAGAGGAAGTCTTTCAAGCGTACACAGAAGCGAGATTCAATTCAAGAAACGTTTAAAAGAAGAAACAAAAAGATTCAAGAAACGTTACAAGCGGAAGACTGGTTCGGATTTCGGAGCAGCAAAGTTAGTGGGGACCCCCTTTCCTGCCCCTTTTCTCACTCAACATGAACAGTTGATTACCTCTGGTCCCCATAACTGGTCTTTTCAAAGGACAGCGAGCACATAATTATTATTTATATCTCCAAAGAACGCATGGGAGAGACCCCTCCCTCCACTGTCCACTGTGCTGGTCCGGTATGACAAAGACATCACCACCACAAAGCAAAACAAATCAGAGTCATCATCACTCTTGTGACCAATTGCACCGGGCCACTTTCTCCAACTCTAACCTTCTTCCCAAAATGTGCTCCTTTATTGCATTTCCAAAAAATATATATATATATCTGCTCCTTTATTGGTCCTCATGACAGTAAAAGAGCTGAGCATTACTCGTCAAAGGAAAAAACACGACAGCAACATGGGTCCCCCGGTAAAACGTTCCCTTGCGAAACGAGAACCCCCAGTGTCGCCAAGCTACACAATCCCAAAGCCCTCTCCTCCACAGATATGACATCTCAACTTACACTCCCAAAACTGGCTTAGCAGAAAACAAGAACAGTTTCCATTACTGATGAATCAACAGGGTTCCTATGTGTGGGAATCATAAACAGTTTTAGCTATCTATATTTATGGTGTGGTTATGTTCGTATGGCCCTTATCATACCAGAAACCACAAATTTCTCGTTCTTGCTTCATACTGTTGGCTGAGAATATCAAGGTAAGAAATCAATTCAATTATGACTAGCAAATTACCACGTAAGTGTCAAAAATGACATGGGATAAGACCATTAATAATATATGCTTGACAACCGGGAAACTTCAAAATTCAACTTGTTCTCAGCCACAGCTTTGGATATTGCTTGTCAAACATCCCTTTCCAACATCCAAATTGATGCAAGGCTAAAAAGTTGTGTTTCAAGTGAATTCAACTCATCAAGAGAAAAATAGTAATTTCACCAAATTGTGCATCAGGGTTGAGGGACCCAGGGCTGACCATCTCTCAATAAATAAATAAATAAAAAAGAAACTACCGTAATAGGCACAAGTCTCTGAAAGAACCACATTATAAAAGCTAACTCTTAAAGTTAAGGAACCCAACGCCTTATATAAAGCCCTTCGTTTAAGGCAACCCTCTCAATGGGACTCATGACAAATTGATGAGTCGACCTCCTGTCTATTCAATTGCTTTCCACAGTTACTACAACAGCATTCCAAAATCAACACTTGTTAAACAAAACCATTTACTCATTTTGGTCACATCATGTCTAAAGTCAAACTTCTATACTTTCATCGAATGTATTGTCCTTTTTTTTTTAAAAAAAAAAGGGTCCTGGTTTACCGCAATATGAAAATAACCATTCATCTGCAACTTCCTGAAAGTCTCAGGTCCATAGCTTTTTTCTTTTCACCTCAAAAGGTCCACAGCTAATAAACGAGAAAAACCAATCTATGGTAAACAAAAGAGGTCAATTATAACCATTATGAAAATAACCAAAAATCACCATTCTATGGCCCATAAAAGAGGTCAATTATGAACTATAAAGTCATCTGCAGCTGCCTGGACAGGAAGTAGTCGGGTCCACCAAAAGTCTAATAGTGGAACCACCAACCCACCGCGCACGTCTAAGATTCAGCTCAGGAAATGCTTATCGTCTCTTTTTCCATTTCTAAGTACTTTTGGCCATTAATAAGTGGTAACAAACAGATATGACTACCAAACAGTGATTTGATAGACCATTGGACAAATAAAAGAATTGTGCAAAGTAGAAATGCCGATATACTATCATTCCATTCACAAAGAACCACATAGTACACGGTAAAGAACGACGTCTGGCCCCATCTACACAGACTATTGTACACATATCAAATGATGAAGAATCAAATCGGAAATCAATTTAAATGGAAGAGCTATCATCAAGAGCAATATCATTCTTCATTTTCTTGTCCCGGATAATTACCTAGTTGCTCCATCCGCCAGCTCTCATGAGGGGCGACGTGTTCATGTGAAGGAATGTAATGCTGCAAAAAGGTAAATTAATTCAGCATTTACAGATTTGACAAACACAACACTCTGAACTCGTTATTGGAATATCTAATAAGCCTATATATATGGTGCATGTTCACAGGTGCCAGAGCAACAGCAAAATTCTTTTGAGCAATTGCAACACAGAAGTGTAATTCATATAGAGAGAAATATAAACATGCACGAGGCCTAATATATCACCATAACTTCAGATAAGAAGTCCTGCACAAAGTCTTATCCAAGTTTACCGACTTGGCTTTTATTTTAGGAATCGAATAGCGGCCCTTAAATTGATCTATTGACCGCATACCGTAGCAGGCCACCCATTATTTTATAAATTACCAGCACACACAAATGTTGAATTATCTTTTGCTCATCACTCTGGTAAAGCAATCTACCATTCATCTCCAGAAGATATGAATACACAAAATCTGAACGCAAATTTTTCAAGTAGATAATTTTTAATGCGTCCTGCCACATAATTTAAGGGTGGAAATTAACATAGTTGTGGTTAGACCTCCATCTTCGTCACAAGTTCCTTGGCCGTTGGAGCAGAGATAATTATATTTCGAGCACCAGGCTTAATGAAACCTTCTTCAACACCATTGTCAAATAAGGCAAGCAAACAGTTATAGTAACCATCAACATTCAGTAGACCAACCTGTACAAAATGATATGCAGTTAACAATTTTTATCAGCAGGCGAAGGATTTTATCTTATACTGGAACATGCCAAGTTACCGGTTTTTTATGAATCCCCAGTTGGGCCCAAGTTATCATCTCCAACAGCTCTTCCATGGTTCCATACCCTCCTGATTGTAAAGAAAAAGGAGGAGAATGGCGTGGGAATAAGTGTCAATTTATGCAGTATAAAATGACAATAAAAATATTGCAGTACGATCCTGTCAACAAAAAAACTAGGGTATACGATCAAGAAATAACTCTGACGACATTTACGTGAAACAAGAGGTACAACAACCGATTATTTTTCTAAATCACTGACGAGAGCTTTTCTGGTAAGTGGTAACTACCGGGGAGAGCAATAAATGCATCAGCCTCTCGAGCCATTGCAGCTTTACGCTCATGCATATCTGAAACGATTCTCACTTCTCCTACTGTTTCACCAGATATCTGTCCAAATGATCCATAGCAACATGCTAATTATACTTTGTTATAATTATTTTCTATTGAGAGCAGATATAACATTCTTTCGATGATAAAGAGATTATAATCATAACAGTTGTAAATTTCTCCCGGCCCTGCTGAGAAGTGAGAAATGAAATGCCAATGACACGTTTATTCACAAACAAGATAAATTGCGAGAAGTAAACGGAAAATCAATTTATTTGAAAGTTACTGGTATAGGTAGAAGTTAGGCAGCTAGGAGCACAAAACACAAATACCTCAATAGGCATAAGAGCTTTCGGAATTATCCTGCATGTAAAGAAGGAAAAAGAACGGTGACACACTAATCAATAACACCAGCTTACAAAAAATGGCAAGGGTATTGATGGAGGGGGGGGGGGGAGGACAAGAGAATCCGCAATGAACGCTGGGAAGAATGTTGTCTTAGTTGCATACCCAAGGACACGGCAGCCTCCATCATACACTCTCTGAGATATTAAGCCCATCAACCCAACACTTCCTCCACCGTAAACCAAGTCTATCTTCCTCTTCACCTGTAATTCCCACCACAAGAACACGCTCAATAATTATCGGAATCTCCACGGTTCTGCGCACAGACACCGTGATCGTACACACTTGTTGATTATCAAGGCAGCATTTCTCGACTGCAAGGTAGTTAATTGTTATTTTCCAAAGAAAACGAGTTTAATAAAACATACAAGACCCGAGTTTCAAAACGTCGAACACCCGGTAAACAGAACAACCAGAAGAAGTAAGAGTATCAGTAATCAGTGATAGAGGAATATAATCGAAGAGAGCTTAAAAAAAGACAAGTGACGCTGACCAGTTCATTGCCCAATTCAATCGTAGCGTCGCTAAAGACTTCCCTATTGCCGGAGTTGCTACCGCAAAAGACACAGACGCTCTTGAACTTGCTTCTCAGGAAACCTTCCTCCATTCAAAATGAGAGATTTCTTTGTCTGTTTTCGGGTTTTTAATTTAAATCCCAAACATGGAGAAGAACAAAGCAAGACAAAAAGGTAGCTCTTGCACAGATTATATTTACTTTTATTATTTAAAGAAAAAAAATAAGGCTTTTAAACAACCAGCAATAGCGAGAGAGATTCTTTGAACTTCGGAGGGCAGGCCGGGTTATTCCATCAACAATGGACGAGTAAAGCATATATAACCGGAGAAGAGAGATCGATAAGAACCCCCTTTTTTTTCTTTTTTCTTTTTTCTTTTTTTTTTTTAAGTGAAGAAAACACGGGAAGCCCACATGCTCTATATCCTTTCCAATCTAACGTCTATTTGTCGGCTTTGTAACTTAGGGTCGATTCACCAACAACTGCACCTCCTTTTTTTTTTTTTTTTCCTTCCTTTTAAATTTGAATCTAAATGTAAATATTGAATTCTTTTGTATAGAATAGTAGATAACAAATCTATTTTCCATATTGTTTACCAAGAAAAACCATACCTCCTTTTCCTCTTTATTCTACTTTTTTAAGGGAATTATATTGGACTTTGACTTTAATTATATTTTCTTTTTTAAGGAATATTTGAATTATATGGTTTTCTATTGGCTAAAATATACTTTTAGTCTTTTAACTGTCTATAAGATTTTATTTTGATCCCTTAACTTTAAAAAGTAAATTTTTAGTCCTCTAACCCTAAAACTATTAAGAAAAAATGACGATATTAAACTCTTGAATGCTGATAAAATATTACTAAATGCTAACATATTCAGTTTAAGATTCAAAACAACCATGACTGTTATAAAAAATCATTATTTTTTTTACCAGAAATAAAAAATCATTATTTAAGATTAATAATTTTGGGGTTAAAGGACTAAAAGTATACTTTTTAAAATTAAGATGTCAAACTAGAACCTTACATAAAGTTAAAGGATCAAATGTATATTTTAACCTTTTCTATTTTTGAATCATTCTATTCCTTAAAATTAGAATGTTAATAGAATAACATTTTTCTACATACTATCTCCGTTTCTTAATATAAGATCTTGTTTGACTTTTATTTTTATCCTAATTATAAGACCCCAATCTACTTTGTCTCTCATATTTATCTATTTTTTCTTATGGTAGTCCTTCTAATAATGATAGTTGTAGCTTATATATTTGATTAGTAAGGATATTTTAAGAAAGACAACACCTATTTATAATAAATAACTAATTTAATTTATTTTTTTAATTTCTTAAATTAACTAATTAATTCTTATAATTACGACCGAATGTAGTAGTTGTTTTCACCGGACAACATCTTATAATTTAAACGTATACCAATCACTTTTTTTTTTTTGGGATGAACATACACCGATGCCTTTTGTCCGAAAAGGGCAAAAAGCCTATACCAATCACTAACTGCTGCACTCTTGTACCCGATACAGATGTCCTGACGAGATACAGTGCACAGGATTCAGAAAATAATTTATATTCTTCATCGCAAGCGCATAATAAGACCTATTAAAAAATTTTAATTATAAATCACATTATTAAAATTTTTAATTTAATTATATAATTTTAGTCTTTGTTTATTATTGTATTAACTTTATTCTCTTTAGGTATAATATATGTTACATGCAGATAAAATAAAAAAATTATTAAATTTTAAAACAAAATTAATAAATGAAGTTTGAGATTTTTGATGTGTTGAAGTAAGAGTAGGATTCTAATAAATTTAGGCGTTTTGAGGAAAAAGAACAGGTTGTGCGTGTTGGCCAAAAATAGCGAGCGAGGGCCTTGGCGTCTCTATTTTCTTCCGCTCCATCCCTGAATTCAAGCGCCGTACGTACGTAGTTCCTCGTCACGTCGACGTCGTCCCACCCAGAAAAACACACACTCGCTTTTGATTCTTTTCCAAGTTCCATACAAAAAATTACCGTTGGAACTTGAGCAAATCAATCCACACGTACGCTCCTTCGCGCACTCATCATAATGCAGTTCATCAGCATCAACCATTAAACGAAAGAGATTATCGAAGCAAGAGGGGAACCCATAATTTCCCTGGAAAGTTAAATGCATGTAATGGGAAGAAGAATCCCAGATGATAATCTCTCGTTGTCGCTGATACTGCACCCTGTTCTTTATTTATCCTTCGTAGCCGTAGGCGTGGTTGCCAGTATCGCCATAGTCACGTCTCTATGCAGCATTCTCACATTCTGGAAAAAACCATCTTCAGAAGAAAGAAAAAAGGCGGGCCCGAATTCGCCGGGGGCGGAGGCGACGGAAACCACACCTCCGGATCCTCAGGGGGAAGGCGCAGGGGACGAGAACGAGACGGGCGTGAAGGAGCTGCCTCTGCCGCCGGCAATGCAGTATCAAGGCAATAATGACTCGTATGCATCGGTTAAAATGAAAAGAGCAGCTTCAGAGAGAAAAATGTCGCTCAGTCTAAGCATAAAAATGCCGAGAGCTTTGTCAGTGGCGAGAATGGGCAAGGATCATCTGAAGGAGGAGGCTGTGAAGAAAATGAAGGGGAAACAGGAGGATTCTGTGTGGATGAAGACGATAATACTAGGGGAAAAATGTCAGATCCCTGAAGATCAGAACGATGCAGTGATTTATGATCGAAAGGGTAAGAAAGTGGAGGCCTACCACCCTAAAACAAGGAGCTCCATGTCCTGTTCTAATATCTCTTTCATTGATCCCGATGAAGCTCCCCAGGGCGCCCAACCCCAGAACCAGGAAGAAAATCGCAATACGTCTTGATTCAATTCATTATCTGTTCCTGTCTTGTTTAGGATATATAGTTCAGTCCACCAATGAATTGCGACTATTTTGTGATGATCAACGGAGAGGGCATCAATTTTTTCTGCCAGGAAAAACCAGTTAATTAACATTAGATGGTTGCAAGTACTAATCTTATTTTAATTTATTATACATGTCCTTTCATAGTAGTCGTTTTTAGAATCATTCCCTGAGACTCAGGTAATTCAATTTAAGGAGGAGAAATTATGATTGGCACAAGGGCAAGTGCAAGTTCAATCATAAACAGAAGTCTCGGTTTTAGTGTTGATCGTGCAAATGCTACAGCTAAAAGAATCAACCGTTCTCTTTTCATCCCTATCAGAGTTCTGAACCAGAATCCATAGTATCAAATACTGTCATGGGCGTCGGATCCATTCCTGATTCCTGAAAATATTACTAAAATGTAAAAGATGCATTTTCTTTCCTTCTTCTTTTCCTCGGATGGATTTATTAGATTGAGAGATCAGAGTCAGACCAACGTAAAACCAACTATTACACAGAAAAAATAGAAATGCTGCCATGAATGTTTACGAGAATGATTGGGACAGATGATAGACTTATCTTTCAATTAATTGCCTTGCCCAGCCCAGAGAGAAGAGAAGCCATTATCAAGAAATGATTTGTCATCGTCGTTGTTTGTTCCCTCTTCCTCGTATACTTCATTGATGCATGTTTGGTTTGATGGGCCCGGTAAAGGGTGGGTACAGGAAACGAGATGCTTCTCTTTTTTTTTTTTTCCTTTTTCCTTGAGCACATAATCTGATTTCTCTCTAACCTAACTAATCACGTAGACTAATTGAGAATTTTAGATAGAAAGTGTTTTTTTTTTTGGCTTCAATTAAGATAAAAATTTAAATTTTGTTAGTAACCTTAATATTTTAAGAAATGAATCAAATGATATTATCCTTCCAGAACTATCATTTTATCTGCGATATTTTCTCTTTGCTTTCTATTCTAACTCTCCAAGTATTTTTCACTCTAAAAAAATTATCAAGGAACATTAAAAAAATTGAATATTTACGTATGCATTTTCAATAGCAACTTACAACTAAGTTTTTCTGGCCAAAAAAGAACTTACGATTAAGTTTAGTATGCTCTATATTGAGATTTTTTTTAAATCAAGGATGAACTCAGACAAATTTGCTTGAGATATTAAATTAAAAAAATATTTATAGTTATTTTTAGTCCATTCTTTACGTTATGGAGAGGTGTTTTAATATTTTTTTAAAAAAATCTTGGTGAGTTTTCGACTCGTGAGTAATTAAACGAATACAAAGGAAATATTAATCTTCATGAGAAAATGAAATATTAAAAACAGGGAGGAAGCATAAATGACTTCTGAATTTGGGAAAATGGTTGCATATATATTTCTGAAAGAGAAGAGTTCTCTATGATTAAGGCAAGGCATGAAGGGGTTTAATTTGTATCATTCTTTGTTTTTTTTGTAGTGCTTCTCCATCCTTAATATAGGACCCAATTATTGAATTGACTTTGATCCTAAATATAAGACCCATTTTTCATATTCCTCCGGTCCTTAATATAGGACCTAATTGGTGAGTTGGTTTTGGTCTTAAATATAAGACCCATTTCTCATATTTATCAATTTTCTCTAAATTACCCCTATGGATACTCCTTCAACCATAATCAAGTAGAAGAGGAAAATGAGGTATTAACAAAGATGATTATGATATTTTAAGAAAAAAATGTCACATTTCTTATAATTAACTAACTTACCTAACTTCCTTAATCTAATCAAATTAGTTAAACGGGTCTTATATTAAGGACCGGAGGAGTATTTATCAATTTTCTCCAAATCACCCATATGGATACTCCCTTAACCATAATCAAGTAGAAGAAGAAGATGGGGTATTAAGAAAGATGATTATGATATTTTAGAAAAACGTGTCACATTTCTTATAATTAACTAACTTATCTAACTTCTTTAATCTAATCAAATTAATTAAATGAGTTTTATATTAAGGACAAGAAGAACATTAATTTTTAAACATAACACACGCCGTCATTTCCTTTATTCAAAAGAGAGAAACCAAATAAGCACGCCAGCAAAAGTATATTTTTAAAATTCTAAAATTTGGAAAGTTCTGAGTTCATATATTTTTTTTGACCAAGTCCTGATTTCATATAGTTTTTATTAAAACACAAACATAAATAAAATAATTTTTAACGAGAAGCTTGTGGGTTTAGCTCCGAATTTTAAATTTTGGCGTGTGCAAAACGCAGGGACGAGGGAGTTCCACCGAAAATCAAATTGCAAACAGCCGTTCGCCGATTTGCTTGCCCGCCACATCAGAATCAGAATCACTCCTTCCTTCCCCGAAATAATCGAAGCTTCCGTTCACATTCGCATCTCTCCTGTTTCCCATCGCTTGCCAGGTTTCTTATAAGAAAGGCGTCGGAGCCAAAGCCGTCATCTTTCTCTCCAGGGAGGAGGACGGGTATCTGTTTCTCGTTCATATTCTTTCATACCTGTTCTCCTTCGAACCCATCATCCACTTCTTGGTTGTTTTCTTTTCATTCCTTGACTTTGATTCTCCCTCTCTTCTTCCATTGTCGTCATGGTTGGATTCAATTATCAGCGTACGCGGATTGCCTGTAGTTCAATGCGTGCGTGCAATCTGTAATTTGAAGGGGATTTTCTCACCTCGCCTTTCTTGCCCATTATTTTCTTGCATTTATACGCTAGGGATCATTCTCACACCTGCGTTGATCGCATCGACGTAGAATGGAAGTACTGTGGTTCTGACCCCAAGTCTTGGTATTCTTCAATCTTGAAAGTGCGACGACCGAAGAGATCAGTCTATTATTTTTGCGACAGACTCGTCAGATCTGTTGATGTATCCAATCGTTGCTGAAAAGGATCGGCTTGTGAACATACCCAATTCATACCTGGGTGTCCTCAGGCCATTGGATTTGCCCATTGAACAAATAGACTTCTCATTCTGTTTTTCAATACAAAGGTGGAATAAGGAGTTTTCCGAGCTGCAGAGTGGATAAATAAAGCTCGACAAATTTGTAACATTTCTCGATTTGGAAGAGTCGTTAAGAATGGATTCGTCACAAGAGCCTGCGCTATCCGCTAATGTTGCTGGTTTAGTGGATAATGCGTCGCTCAAGGGGAAGAATTCCAACCTCGATGGCATGCCTGTGTACGTCAAGGAGTTAATTGCCGGTGGATTTGCCGGTGCACTTTCTAGGACTGCTGTTGCGCCCCTGGAGCGGGTCAAAATACTTTGGCAGGTAGAGATGAGCTTCCTTTTTTACTTCTCACTTCATGTCATTTTACATACTTATCTCATTACTGAATTGAGTTCAATGTGTAATGATGAAAACATCTTTATTATTGTATTCAACTATTTTATTGGCATTGTTCCTGCACATGGTTTATCCTCAATATAGTATGGAGAGCTGGAAATTCTTATTTTTAACACATACAAGATGAAGATAATCTGGATTACATGCTTGCAATTTGGCATGCATAAAGTGGCTAGAGCTCGTTATCCCCTGCCTCAATAGATATTGGTTCTTTTGCTTCTTTATAAAATGCTGAAAACTCTGGTTTCTTACGCATATCTGGTGTTATATATACACGAATCTGTGTGTGTATTGGCATACGCATAAATGTCAGTTTTTTGTATTGCTCCTTCACTTGTAACTTCTTCATATATAATATATTGATTGGTGGCAGTATACTTTGCTTTAGTCTTCCCCCCACCCCCCTAAATTTTTTTTTTCTTTCTTTCATTTTACCTACAGACAAGGACACCAGGATTTCACTCCCTTGGTGTTTATCAATCTTTAAGCAAGTTAATGAAGAATGAAGGTTTGCCAGGATTATACAAGTAAGATAGAACTTCCTGTAGTCTACACCCTTTTTCATGTTTCTTTGGTCCACAGGTGTACTCTGTAGCTGCGTTTACATATGCTTATTTGGTGGTTTCAGAGGAAATGGAGCGAGTGTTGTCCGGGTTATTCCTTATGCTGCCTTGCATTTTATGACATATGAGCGGTACAAGTGTTGGATCTTGCAGAATTGGCCAGTGTTAGGATCAGGTCCTGTCATTGATCTTTTAGCTGGATCCGCAGCTGGAGGCACTTCAACTTTATGTACATATCCTCTGGACCTTGCCCGTACAAAACTTGCTTATCAGGTAGGGATATCCACTAAACATTTCTATGTTTGAAAAATATTTTCTAGATGTCTCCTCTCTGGCAAAACTACATGCAATTTCTTATTTTGAAACCTCATTTCTCTTTTTATTCAAATGAAAAGGAAAAAGAGTAGACGGAGGGACGTTGTGTTAACTTCCAAAGGAGACCAGCAAAGTATTTATCATGGTGTTTGTAGAACACTTAAAGCATGCCTGGATAGAGTTTGGTAGAATTTTAGCTTAATAAGAAATAGATCAAAAATAACACGAACTGATGTTGTGGTCTCAATGCATATGGCCTTGGGTATGTCTCATAAAAGGTAACACAGTCAACTATGAGTAGCATTGCGTTCAACATGTTAAAAAACCCAAGACAATGAAAACTGAGAGACTAGCTTAAAGAATGTTGGCCTAAAGTTGCATTCACATTGAGGACAGTATATTAGTAGATCTGTTACAACTTAAGCCTCTTAAACATGCAATCTCATCTTTGTTAAAATATTATAGGTGGGAGACACAAGAGGAAGTGCAAAAGATGTTCCTTCTCGACCTGCCCATAATGGAATTAAAGGTGTTCTTACAAGTGCCTACAAGGACGGGGGAGTTCGGGGACTTTATAGAGGTGTAGGTATGTACATCCTGGGATTTAGCCATTAAATTATATGGATCCATTTCATGTTAAGCATTAGTGGCTATGGATAAAGAATGCTTTTGTCTATTGGAAGGCTTGCTTCTAGTGAGAAGGCTTTTTTTGGAGCATGTCTGATGGAATATAAGAATGATATATATATTTTGAAGAAACCTCCTATAAAACGAAATCTGTATCTATCTTATGTTTGTATTTTATTACTTTCTGTTTTTATTAAATGAGCTGCAAGCGAGATGTTTCCTTCATGAAAAGGAATCCTTATATTTTTTTTGGCTTTTATGTTTCCTTCACAAGAAGGAAACCTTGGCAGTGGGATGAGAAATCCTTGTCCCTTCCATTTCTCTGCTATATCTTATTTTTAGGCCCATCCCTGCTGGAACTCCTTTTTTTTTTTTGCCCCTTTAGGACCAACCCTTGCTGGAATTCTTCCATATGCTGGTTTGAAGTTCTACATGTATGAGAAATTGAAGATGCACGTTCCTGAAGAACATAAAAAGTCCATTTTGATGCGACTCACTTGTGGAGCTCTGGCGGGCTTGTTTGGACAGACTTTAACATACCCTTTAGATGTTGTTAAGAGACAGATGCAGGTGTGTCAATACAACTCTGTATCATCAGTGTAGAACTTTTACTTTTTGGTTGTGTGTGTATTGCGGTTTAAAATTTGATTCTAGAGGGCTTATGCTATTTACTATCTAGAAGCTTCCATATTATGCAACACCCTTTACTGTCAACTTGGAACTTACAAAGGACTCTGTTTTGAGCTTTCCTCATTTTATATTTGCTTGTGCAGGTTGGCAGCCTGCAGAATTCAGCTCATGGTGATGTCAGATACAGGAATACATTAGAGGGACTTAGGATTATTGTTGCTAATCAAGGATGGAGGCAGCTGTTTGCAGGCGTAAGCATAAACTACATTAGGGTAATCGCCACTCATCCAAACTTTTCTTATACATCTTTTCAACATGTTTTTGGTTTGTTTTTAGCTATTAAGTATAGTGAAGCTCTGCCAAATTCTTTCTTGGCAGGCAAATTTCGTGTTCATATGGATTTTTTTGTTAGTTAATAGGCCGTTGTTTTGTCTCTAATTCCCCAGAATCTGGAATAGATTGATATCCCAGTCTTTATGGAATGGGATCGACTGATCTGATCTCCGTTGCAAAAGAGTATATAAAGCCTTTGGCATATTATAATTCATGAAATTGAGTTTATTAGTTAAATGAAGTGGGTCATGAATTTGGTTCTTGTTGTGGTATAAAATCGTTAGGATCTGATCTTTCCCAGAAGTGGCTACTCGGCTGGGTAACAAGTGAATCTTATGGGGAAGCTTTGGTCCAGCACAGAGGGACACGAGTAACGTACTGGGCCATGCTGGTTTCATTTGTCCGTGTAGACACAGGCATCGAAAATGATGATTTGGGCTATAATACTAGTTAATAATAGTGCCTTACGATTTGTTTGTTCTCTCCAATTCCTTAAAAGCAGAACCATTTGGATCCTTACGGTTACCCAGAGATGCGTATTCTGTTATCCGATAAAAGATAATCTGTAGACAAGGATAAGAATCCAAGTTTGAGCTTTCCATAGCATCACCCTCTTGTCTAGTGAGTGAAGAAACCTAAGTTCATCTTTATGTCGCAAATAGGATTGCAGACTAACCCTTGGTTGAATTTGTAATTTGTGTTCGGTTTTACCACGTTGCCTTTTTAACGTTGCTTGCCATGATGCCAGATTGTTCCATCAGCGGCAATTGGTTTCACGACATATGACATGATGAAGGCTTGGCTTGGCGTAGCACCCCAAGAGAAGAAGTCGTCTTTATCAGTTTCCGCTTCATAATTGTCCACTGCTCACTGCGTCACTGATAATTAGTCTTTTTTTTTTTTTAAAGGCCACAACTACGTATCCATTAACAATAGTTACAGACACTGATCACTGGTTCCATTATTGCCTCAGATGTGAAGCCAAAATTACACATTTTTATTGTATTTAGGGTGATTCCTGTTATAAGATTTTCTAACTTCAATGTTAACGTCCATGTGGTAGTCCATGTTGGTCTATATTTATTTGAAAAATTAAGTTATGGAGACCACGGTGAGTTTTGGGGTCCTTGGCATCACAAGCCCTATTTTTTTTTGAGAGCGACTCTTGTTGTTGGTCATCCCCATGGCTTTAATACTTTATACATGCGCATAAAAGTTTGTATTTTGAGTCGCTTCGCTGGACCACACTTTGGACTGAGGTTGAATCACGGGTTATTATTTACTGTTTCGTTTTTTGGTGCCAGTATGATGGTTCTACTGTGAGATGGTGTTGGGTTGAATAAAAATATTACTGGATACTATATAGAACCAATATATCAAAATGAGATGAAAACGATTTGATGATTCAGCATTACGCTTGGTATGACATAAAAAAATATTTCTGAAGTATCTAATTGAATGGAAATAATAGGTAATAGATGAATAAAAAATGAATATGAAGAACTAAACTAAAAGTATTTTTGAAACCAAGAAAAGCTAGAAAAATGAGACCTCAATCCATGGAAGATTTGAATGTGGCACGACTCCTCAGTTATAAATGTGCTTGTTAATCTGTGAGTTTTGGATGATTCCAAATCCTATGTATCAGTATGTTCTGTGGGGTATGCCGGAGCAGCTTACCAGGTTTTGGGAGGGCAGATTTTGAAACTTCATTTTGGTGGTCGCAATTTATATCCGCAGGCAGCTCTTGGCCTTTGACATGAACGTTGATGTGTGATCCATTGGTATGCTGACTTGGAACTTGTTAAATGTTGCAAGTACGAATCGTCCAATGTCTGGAAAAATTCCTCCGCATTTAATAATAAAGTAACTATGCCCCCCAAGGCTTTATTTTTTTTTATGCATTGTATTCTTCCTTCCTTCAACGGCTTTTAATTGTTTTTGCAGTCAAATTGTCAGTCTGACATGGTTTCATTTTACTTTCATTATTAAAAGTGGCTGAAGTTACTACGAGTATAAAATTTAAGGTAAGCCCTCGGAGGAAAAAAAATTGCCACTACCAGCTTCCTGCATTGTTTATGGCAACAAAAGCAAACACGCTCGTCTGGGTCTCTGCGGTCTTCCTTTTGGAAAGATGTGATGCAATTCCAAGGCAGATACAGTAGTAATTTGTCATAATTAATTAAGGTTAGCGGCACACTCTTTGGGGCTGCATTGTTAGTACATGTTGTTATTGTCATTTTAAAACAGAGACCTGCTTTTCCTTTGACTATTTGTCGTGTTTGTTTGTTTGTTTTCATTTCCCACCACGAACTCCTTTTAATCCTCATACTACAAAAATGCGATTCTTCCTCTGTTTTTTGTCCTCCTTTTGCGCCTTTCATGAGCGTGGCTGAGCGCCAGATCTCTGAGTCAACCCAGCAACTTTGTTGATAATAGATGCTTCACTGTTCTCGATAAGCCAGAGATCCGTTTCTGTCATTTGAATTGAATCCCCCCGCCCCATCCTTTCTAATGCGTTAAAAAAAGTCGGGCCCATTATCCACGTTGCTTCGATCCAAAGTTTCCACGTTCCCAGGCTTTCATTGCTCCATTTCAAACTCACTGTTAATCCTCCAAGGGAAGCTGAACGCCTAGACCAGTAAAAAAACCCAACTTCACAACTTAACCCTCTAATCTCGGATCCATCTACCTGATTGTCTGAGAGATGATTATTGACTTCAAATTAGTATACTAAAATATGTTGTAATACTTTGCTGACATTTGACAGTACTAATTCAAAACATTTGTGTTTTTAGTGGACAATAATATATATTTCGTCTTTTGTTTTCTTCTTGGCAGCGCAATGTTTACAGATGTACTGAAATTACAAATATGATTGGGTGAGGTGGAATGGCCAGATGGGCATGCGCCTGGGGGTCACTTGAAAAGCAGAAAAGGGGCAGAGATCTTAACTGCACTGACTCGTAAGATCCTTTGTCCGATGGCGACTTGGCCTTTGTTCCCTTTCCTTTCACTTTTAACCACAAAGGCTTTGTCCCTTTTCATGTTTTTCCATAGCCTGCTGGACCCCACCTCTTCCTCTACAATCGAGCTCCTCTTTCCCAACCTTCTTTCGTCCGTTGCCACCCTTCCTTTTGAATTTCAAATCTCCCACTTCTTCCACTTCCAACGCCCCATACTCCCCCACTAACATCCCCATCCCCCACCTTCGCCCTCATTTCTCTCTCTCATATCCAACTCAACTTCATTCTGCTGTTTTCTTTCTTTTTGTTATCACTCGCCCAACTTTGTATTCTCTCTGTTCTATCTTCGTTTTGTTACAAGTCTCTGTTTGAGTTCTGTTTTCCGTTCAGGAGCAAGTCCGTTTCTTTGTACCCAGGGATGGGTGCTTCTGGAAAATGGGTGAGATCTTTAATCGGGCTCAGGAAGTCTGATAAGGATGACCATGTAAGTTTGTATGCTATCTTAATCAAGTTTATTGCTTTATCCTCCCAACTTGTTTTGTTCCTCTCTGTAATGACACCAACTTGCCTTTCAGGCCAAGGAGGGTGGAGGCAAGAGCAAGAAGTGGAGGCTATGGAGGAGTTCTTCTGGGGACATGACTTCCTGGAAAGGTTTCAAAGGAAACCACAGAGCTGCCTCCGAGGGTTCTGATTCTCCGGTTGCTGATGCTTTTACAGCTGCAAAGGCCACCGTGATTCGAGCTCCCCCTAAGGATTTCAGACTTGTTAGGCAAGAGTGGGCAGCAATAAGAATTCAAACTGCCTTTCGCGGTTTCTTGGTATGATTTGCATACCCTCTTTATTTGTTTTTCCCTTTGTCTTTGTTCTTTTCCCTTTTCCTTTATTTGTTCTCTGTGTTGTTGAAAAGCTCAATGATGACTTCTCTAAGCTGTATGTTATTTCTGGTTTGATTGGACACAGTAACAAATAATGGGGCTTTTCAAACGATGCCTGATGATGTGAAGGTCTTCGCTTTTAAATATTTTTCTTTTTTTAAAGAAGATTCTGTTCACTTTTATGCCACTGTAGATCTCGCCTCCTTTGATATGTAATTTGAACACACCATTGATGTGTTGTTTCAAGTAGTCCATGAGAGAAGTTAGGCTCAAGCACTAAACTTTTCATCTTCAGGACCCACATTATGATCTTTGGAATGTCTTTAAGTACATAATAGTGCTCAGCGTTCTTTAAAACTACCAAGATATGATTAAGTCAATCAATCGGTGTGGAAAATGGAAACGGAAATGGTTTCCTAATGGTAGTTTGATCTCCATCACCTAGACGAAATCTGGAATGAAAAGAAGCAAAATGACTAGAAAAATTATTACATTGCTTCTTTGCTTTGATTCTTATAGCTTTCATGAAGCTTAGTCAGAGGAATGTTATCTAAATCAAATATTCTGGTCTAACTGCAGGCAAGAAGGGCCTTAAGGGCCTTGAAAGGAGTGGTAAGGCTTCAAGCTCTTGTGAGAGGTCGACAAGTAAGGAAGCAGGCTGCAGTGACGTTGAGGTGCATGCAGGCTCTGGTTCGCGTTCAAGCCCGAGTGAGGGCTCGTCGTGTTCGAATGTCCATAGAGGGGCAGGCTGTGCAAATGATGCTTAATGAACGTCGCACTAAGGCTGATCTCTTGAAAGAAGCTGAGGTCTCATCGTAATCCTTAGTTATATCAATCCATTAGTCTCCCTTTCGCTACCCATGGTTTTACACAAGTGGGATTTTGTTGTCGTTCTTTTTTTTAATTTCTATTCAGGAGGGATGGTGTGATAGCAAAGGAACTCTGGAAGATGTCAAAGCTAAGCTACAGATGAGGCAGGAAGGAGCCTTCAAGAGAGAGAGAGCAATTGCATATTCTCTTGCTCAGAAGGTAACAAAATGAGGCCAGCTTTTCACTTTTTTGCTGGTGTTCTTTTGTTGCGGGAGGAATTGATTTTTAATCTATTTTCTTTTGGGAAACCAATATAGCAATGGAGATCAACCCCTTGTTCAAATGCACGAATAAATACCGCTCTCAAGAACTTTGAGATCGACAAGGCTAACTGGGGATGGAGTTGGTTGGAACGTTGGATGGCAGCCAAGCCCTGGGAAACTAGATTGATGGAACAGTCCCAGGCCGAGGCCTCTGATAAAAGTAAAACCCCACCTCCTAAGAAGTTTGTTGATTCCTTGGCAAACTCAAATTCAAAACCTTCGGAACAAGGCTTAGTCAAAGTCAGAAAGAACAACGTCAGCACGAGGATCTCAGCTAGGCCTCCCATTGCTGGGCAAACAACGCGTTCATCCTCAAGTCCAAGTTCTGAATTTCGATATGATGAGAGCTCTGCTTCGTCTTCCATTTGCACTTCCACAACACCAATATCTGGGAATACTGGGTTGGCCTCTGAAAGGACAGAGGACGGCACCGTGAGTCGGCCGAGTTACATGAACCTCACCGAGTCAACCAAGGCAAAGCAAAAGGCAGGCAATGTTGGGTGTCACAGAAGTCAAAGGCAGCAATCGATGGACGAGTTTCAGTTCCTGAAAAAGTCAGGGATTTTCTCAAATGGGGATTCCAAAAGCACTGCAGGTTCGGGCTCTGACCCTTCAATCAACTTCTCAAGGCCATTTTACCTACCCACCCACTTGGACAAGTGCTCAACGAAGGCGCGGTGAGGATAAGTGGCTGCTGCCTCAAGTATTTAATAGATTTGAATGATGGTTGTAGTAATTTTCCAGGTTCAACATCTTGTTGTTCCCTATGTTGGAATTGAGTTAGCTATTAGCTTTTGTGCTTGCACTAGGCTTGTTATTGATTCTACTTGAGGTCGAGGCCTCGCAATTTGTACAATTGTTCGTTCCATGGGTATTTCGTATCACGCTATCCTCTAGTTCTCTCCGTGAAAACTGAAAACTACTAGTTTTTCTTCGTTTTTTGGGCTGGGTGTAAATGGTTAACTTAAGCGAGCCTAACATGGGTTCTGTACAAACACAAATCCGGGAAACCCATAAACCATAACTCGGATCGACTGTGTTCTGATTTTGTTCGTACTCCCCAAAATATCTGTAACTCTTTGTTCGTCCGAATAACAAGAAGTGCTTGAAGATAATATTTTATAGCATTTTTTTAAGAATTTGCATCCGAAGACGCTAGAAAGATAATTATTTACTTTGGGAGCAACGGCGCCTGACTCACCTGACTAATATTTAATGATACAATTCACCATCGGCTAGCTATATTGGTGTATTACACTATATAGAAATTTTAGGCAATATAGTATGCGGCGTCACTGTGTTCTCTTAACGGCCCTGAGCTTCACACCATTCTTGAAGTTAAGAACGATGCCATAGTCAAGTTGTACGGGTTTTTCCATGTCTGGAGAGTGACGAAAGACATAGTTGCGGTATAAATGAATGAGGGTAAGCTTGATCTCTTGTATGGAAAATTTCTGGCCAATGCAGGCCCGAGGACCAATTCCAAATGGTATGAATGCATAAGGATGCCTTCGTTTGGATTCTTCACATTTTGGGTCAAACCTCTCAGGTTTAAACTTTTCTGGCTCCGGAAAGTTTCTTGGATCTTTAGCTAGAACTCCTAGTGCTAACCACACCCATGTCCCCTGCCCCATGTAACTCCATATCAGTAATCAGAGATTAAGTAAATGGTCTACTCTGTATCGAAAGTAGAAATGGTTTGAACAATGAGCACGCCCACACACACAACATGCAAATACACAGTACCTTAGGGAGAAGGTAACCTCCTATTTCTACTTTATTTGTTGTCTCTCTTGCAACAAGCGGGGAGACAGTGTAGTACCTCATTGCCTCTTTAACCACCTGCATTTTTGAAGGTTAGATCTTTCTAATTTGCAATTGACTTGGCAGCAAATCTCAGGAAGTACAATTACAAGCAAACCTGATCAAGATAAGGAAATTTGTCATGGAGATCATTAGCAGTGGGTTTTTTATGAGGCGGGCCAAATGCATCGATCTCTGCCAGCAAATTTTTCTCTACTTCCGGATGTTCAGCAACCAAGTACACAATGGAAGACAGAGTAAAAGATGTGGTCGCCGAGCCAGCAAGAAGGTGCTCGTATGTGACAGCACTGACATAATCTGGGGTAAAAATATTGTCTGGTACTGATTTTGATTCTCTGGCATTCAATATGAGCGACAAGAAATCCTTAGAACTCGGGTCCCTGTTGTTAATTCTCTTCTCCACGATCTCATCAAGGCGGCCGCTCAAAGTCTTGTTGGTACGATCGATCTTCCAATCCATAGTTCCTGGAATTCTCTTCAAAATCTGCCTGCATGGCTCTTGGAGGGCGGGGACGAGAAGACCAAGTATGATGGAGAAGGAACCGGACAAGTCCATCTTGAGCTGCGTGGTGGAGTATATGTGTTTGTTGATGAAATCTGACACCCCATCACAATCACTTGTAACGCTAACACTCTTCATTGAATCACACACTAAATGAGGCTTTGATAGTCCAAAGTTGACACCAAAAGCCGCCTCCCCAATTACATCAGAAGCCAACCGGAGGGAGAGATTAGAGAAGCTCATGTCTTCTTTGCTGGAATCAAGATTCTGAGTTGCAGATTCTATATACGATTGCATCATGGGCACTAAGTTGGCCAAGTGTGATGGCTGGTACACTGACAGTATCGTGTTTCTCATGATCGTCCATCTCGAATCCCTGCATTTCATAAAATCAATCGATCGTTACAGCATGAAAACAACAAAAGGGTGTATAGGAGTTTCAAGGTTGGGTTTCAAGGAGGGGTGGTGTAGTTGTTTATACTTGGTGAAAAAGAGACCCTTTTGGTGAAGAGGGGAAGCCGAGATAGGAGAAGGAATGCTTCTGTTTCGAATATCCTTGAATTTTTTGATGCCGGCCTCTCTACACAGCTCTGGGTCTGCTATAATTATCAGTGGTTGTCTTCCCATATGAAATCTGCTCCACCAAACATTAACAAAACAGTTAAACACACAAGCTGCAGGAGTACTGTGAAACAAGGACAGGTACATGTTTCTGCAGCTAACATGTTGCGAATCTTTTCTCTCTCCCCTCGCTCCTGGGTTTTGCTTTTCTATTTCCTAAACCCGTTAAGCGTGTTGCTTCTTCTTCCTCTTCTTCTGGTTCTGTGTTTTAAATTTTTTTCCCCCCCTTTATTCCAGCAATCTTCAAGACCCAGTGAATAGATAATACGGCAACACAAAAAGCCGAAGGCTTGGAACGGTTTGGTAATAACAGACTCCGCGCACTCTCATCTTAAAGCTTACTTTCCTATATCGGATACAGTCCATGAGAATAAATATAATATTTATTTTTTTTATTTTGATTATAAATATAAGATTCTAATTTATTATATCTCTCAAAATTTATTTACTCGTATTTATTTTCAAGATAATCGTTATAATAATAATAATTTTAACTAATATACTTTATTAACAAGAATATTTTAAAAAAAATAATACATATTTATTATAAATAATTAACTTAATTAATTTTTAATCTATTTAAATTAATTAACTAACTCTTATATTAAAAATTAGAAGTAGCATTATAATATTACGGCACACTTGTTTCTAGCAATAGAAAGAAACTCGTTTTATTAAATTATGATGTTTAATGACGCGATAATTTCTCAGGAAGCAGGGAAGAAGCAAGCCGCTTTTGAGCCTGCGAATATCGACTGTCGTCCGAACGCATCTTTCGCCCTTCCTTTTTTAGATTTGCAATATTCTCTTTTTTTTTTCCTTCCAAATTTTTGGGGTTATCTCTATAAAAATTAAATTTTATTGTCTCTAACTATCTTTATACAATAAGCAACTAATGATTATGGTTAAAAAAATATCAATAGATATAACTTAGAAAAAATTAGCAAATATAATAAATAAAACTTATATTTAGAGTTAGACTTAATTCAATAACTAGGTCCTACATGAAGAAACAAAAACAGAAAAATAATTTTGATATATCAAAAAATATGAGAAAATCACAAAAAAAAAGTTTTAAAATAAAAAAATTATAAATAGGGACCCGTTACAATATTAATATAGGTTTTAGCAATAATTGATAAGCAAATAAAAACAATTTTGTGAATGGGTCCTTGTAATGCAATTTTTCAATTTTAACGATATTTATTTTGTGATTTTCGCTAAAAAATATATTTGAAATTATAAAATAGTTTTCTTAAAATAAAAATGCGAGGCGTAAGCTAGCCAAGGGGAGATATGCCTTGGGCTATGCCTATTGGCGCTTAAGAAGCGAATGACAGTGGCAAAAGGAGGGATCGAAGATATGGAAGAAGAAGAATAACAAGACGATGAAGGGACCCCTGGGCGCTTACGCCGACGGAACCAAGCAAGGCAACAAATGAGATGAAGAAATACGAGATCACAGAGTCACTAATTATTATTTCCAAGAAACTTAACCCCCTTCCCATGATTCTCTAGAAAAAGCCGCTTTGCACTTTTGAATCTCATCGGTTACCAGATCCTCACACACCCAAACAGCTTCAGATTTTTATTATTGGCCTTTTCGAGTCAACACACAAAGAAAGAGCCAAGGCGCGCGAGGCGAGCAAATGATAGAAATATGAGCTGAGCGCGAAGTGGAAGGAACAGTAATACGAAACCTGTAGATTGGGCCATACTGCTTGGCGAGTAGAGAGAAGAGATCAGGACCATACTTGGCCAGCAATGGAAGATGTCCCAGGAGTGGAACGGCTGGTGGGCCAGGAACCTTCCTCACTCCCCAATATGGCCCGTACAAATAGCGCACCACTCCCACCACCATTGCCACCACCGTCATGGCTGCTGAAGCCGAAGAAATACAAGTCAGCAACCACTGTAAAACCCCCATTTCTTCTTCTTCTTCTTCTTCTTCTTCTGGTTTGAATATACCAGGGAAGGAGACGGAGAAGATATGTGTGTGTGTGTGTATAGGCACAGAAATGAGAGGTATTGGGTTGCTGGGGGGAGAGAGTTATGATTATTAAATAAGGAGTAGGGGAATGTGGGGGTGGTGACGATCAAGTGGAGGAGAGTTTGTCGGCATGTGAATGATGGAATGAGAGAATTAGATACCTTTTTTAGTACGCAGTGGGATTTTATTATAATGTGGAGTCAGTGACTCATCCTTTCCATAGGATTTTGGATTTTGGATTGTGGTCGTGCATGTGATGGGAGGGGGGCTGGCCGGCTGGGGGTCTACGTCTCCCTCCATCCGCCAGAAGCACAGATCCATGACCCAACCCCATCACCCATTCCCCTAATCGTCTTTCATATTCTTGACCCTCAAAAACACTAAACAGCATCATAATCATTGTGGTGGATTTGCCCCTTCCTCCATTTTCAAACGCATTTGTGCTTATCTCTCTCTCTCTTTTCCATGTTCAATGCATGGACACGCCCAAAAAACCAAAAAAGGCTCCTGCTTTATCAGATAAGATAAACTTGATGAGCACGCGTATATTTTCCCTGTTCACTGATATATGCCTTTCACCATCTTGTTTTTCCAAAATTTGTTCTGGCGAATTTTTTAACGCAAGAATAAAGCAAATCATACATGTCCGTTGAGAGAGACAAAAAAGAAAAAAAATATTAGTTAGGTGTACGTTTTTGTTTGGTTTGGCCGTATTGTCTTTTGAAAATGGGTTTGGAAGTATGTGATGTTTGGATAGATGTGCTCCACCCAGAAGGGACTTTCTGTTTCGGCCACCATATTCGGAGGAGCGTCAAAGTTTTTGGCTCCTCCACAAAAATGATAGAATATATGCCCAAATATTAACGTCGTCGTGTCCGGTTTTATTGCCTTCAAATGATTTAGCGTTCAGAATTAAGTAAGTGTCAGAGAAAACCACGAGCCGTCCCATTGATTGTTACGGACGTAGTTGCTTGTTTGCACGATCATGAAGATTTAAATTCCCCATCCATCCTCCCATCTAGAAGTCTCTATGGCTATCCCAATAAACAACAGTGGTTAAGCAATGGAGAATAACACCCCATTTGAAATTATTTATTTTTCGTATTCTGTAAAATATGACTTAAAAAAAAGTAATTATAAATTATTTTAAATAAACACTGAAGAGACGAGCGGCGATTAGCTTCCGTAGAAGCTATTTCCTTCGCTAATTTTACTTTTTTATTTTAATAATTGAAGTTGCATCCAATAAGAGAGTCGGAAAATAACACGATTACTTTGCGTTATGTTGGGGGGGCCAAATTGAAGGCTTTGGAAATCGCACTGACAACGATCCGTAAATTTTGTCTGATTGTTTAAGTGGGCCGCAATACTCATAACTCTGCATCTCTGCGCACGACCCCCCCCCCAAAAAAATCCAAATTGATAATATTGTATTATTTAAATTATTTATTTATGAGTCATGCATAATGCGGTTTGAATAACATACGGGCCCCACTGCTGAGTTAAATTAAAAGTCAGGCGATAATCAATTTGGACACAACTTCTCGGTGTCATCATACAGTGACAGTTAGGTATGGTGTTTGACGGAGAAAAAAAGTATCTATATGATAAATCAGTTACAAATATGAAAACAACTCCTCTTGTGATATTTATAAAACACTTCTAGTATGTTTTATATAAATAAAAAAATCTTTTAAATTTTATTAACTATCATTTAAAATTTAATGAATTTTTAACTTTATCTCTATTTAATATACATTATGGCTCATATAAACAAAATCAATACAGTAATAAATGAAGGGTAAAATTGTATATCTATGCAAAAAATTTCTCCCAGTGCCTTATAAATAGGACCAAAAAATATATTCTCTCTGCTTTATAAATAGGACCAGAAGAGTATTTGTTACAGTTTTTAGCTAATTTAACTTATAAATTAAAAACTATTTTTTTAAGTATGAGTACAAAAATGCCTAAGATTTATTTATGACTTATGTAAAAGTATCTCAACTTCTCAGTGTCATTATACTATCTCTTCTATTTAATATAAAAATTAATTAGGGAGTTGATTTTTTTTCTATTTATAAAACTTCAATTCATTTTGCTTTTCAGATTTATTATTTTTTTCAAAATATCTTTTCTAATTGTAAGAAATTTTCATTAGAAATACTTTTAATAGTAGGGTTTTCACGGGACAAGACGACCCTGTCCACTACCCTATCCCGTTCCAAAGTCATCATAGTTCCAATAGGGATGTGACCAAGATGTCTCGTGGGATTTTTTTAAAAAAATTTTCAATGAAAAGAAATTGTGTCGTCATTTTGATTTTATTTTATTTTATATCAAACGTAATTGACCAAAATCGTATTCCCTTCTAAATATAGTTTTAAGTATCTAAATTACATGTAATTAAGTAATACTCCTTCGGTCCTAATTATAAGACCCAATTGACTTATTTGAGGAGATTAAGGAAGTAAGTTAAATTGGTTATTTATAATAAATAAGTGTTGTCATTCTTAAAATATCCTCACTAATTAAGTATATTGGCTAAAACTATCATTATTAGAAGGATTATCTTGGAAAAAAATGCATAAATATAAGAGACAAAATGGATTGGGTCTTATAATTATGACCAAATAAAAAGTCAAATTGAGTCTTATAATAAGGACCGGAGGAGTAGTAGTGAATATTTGATTTAAGTAGAGATAAATTACTTAAACTTGTTTTTCTTTTTCATGTTTCAAAATTTCTCAAAATAAATGTTACATGTGGTCATGCAAAGGCCACTATCCTTTATTCTAATGAAGTCTAAACACAAAAATGCATTATCATATGGTATTGATTGAAACTTGTTTGAGTTACATTTTTAAAAACAATTTTTTTTCTTTTTTTAAACATCGAAGTAAAAAACTTATTAAAAGATGTGAATTCTATTTATTTTTTAAAATTTAAAATTTATTTTTTTGCATTGTTATAATAAACAAACAAAAATAATCTATACAAAATATATATGTGTGTATATAAATATATATCTCAGGATGGGAGGAGGCCGTTTTGCGTTCCGTTCCGTCACGGCTTTTAGCGAGACGGGACAGTATAAACAGCCTTTCATGATACACATAATCAAAGAGGTTTTCTCAATATCTTGTACTCTATTGATTGATTATTGATATCACACGACTGGTAAAGATATTGATTTTTAAGTTTAAGGTATTTATTATTTAATTTGATTATAATTTTCTGTACAACTATCACATGCAACAAAAAATTATTGAGTTTTCATCCATCTCGCTATTTTAAAGTTTTGGACAATTCAATATCATTCTTGTGCACGAATATTTTTTATTGAAAATAATTATGCTGGAAGTATAAATTTGTTACTGAAGTCCATCAGTCAACTCAATTCCTGATAGTATCAGCATATCAGGGACGCGTTGATGTTTTTGTCTGCTCCCAACAGACAACTAAAATACATGAATTTATTAAAAATTAAATTGTATTTCTTGCAAAGTAGTTTTATGACATTTTAAAACCAAGTCATATTATCCATAAATTACAACAATAAATCTTAGCATAAGCGTAAATGTTTTTTGACAGAGATGTAGATTATAACAGTACGAATTTTACTGAAGAAAATGCAGACACAGTGCTGGATCCTGTAACTTTTATAAAATAAGTTTAACTTTGACCGGGTCACAATTTCATGTCAATTTTATATCACGCAAAGACTTTTTTTTTTTTTTTACTGGTGAGAACAAATTCATGGTGGGAAAAGGATTTTTTTTAACTTGTTAACTTAAGCAAGGGTAATTCTAAAAAATTATATATATATTGTTTAAACTCAAGTAACACCGTGCAAAGTGGTTGATAATGAATCCATAAAATGAAGACAGGAACAAGCATTAGTTGGGTCCGACTGTGAGTATTGATGGCAGAAGCCTTTTTTTTTAAAAAAAGTAATTAATAGGAGTGTTGAAATGCTGATTTGTTCGGGAATGGGCCGAACACCCGACGAAGAAAGCCCAAATTCTGTTTATTTCGCAATTAAGCCCCAAGTGTACTGAGTGATACGGCCTCGTTCACCTTTGTCACCTTGTACCAAAAAAAGTATGGCGAGCCACCCATTCTTTTTGGTTTGGGCTGATCAGCTTGGGCCCAGAGTGGAATACATCTTGTATGGAGACAACTTGTGATTCCGTAACTAACAGGGATTGGGTCTAGCAGGAGGAGTTAGTTCCTCACAGCATAACGAACCAAGGTTCAAATCCCCACTAGGAGAGGTGCTCTCATTTAGTACCCGACAGTATCTCAGATAAGATTGCCTCCAATAGGAGGATACTTATGCTTTAGCAAAAAAAAAAAAAACTTGTGATTCCATAACTCCTCTTCCTTGGAGTAGATTCAATCTCTGAGCTGGTTGAGACATTGGGAGAGGCATATTTGCAGCTTAGTAAAATTGGGAGATTCATACCTTTTGGGTCAGGAAAAAAAAAGACTTGCTTGTCATGTTCTCGTGCCCATAAGGATAAGCTCTAGTGGATCATGGGTGAGCCTAACTCATTTCCTAAAATTTTTGTATAAAAAAACAAACTTGTGATTTCATATTTGTAGTTTTCAAATCCTTATTAGCCTCATCATCTGCTGTTTCAATTGCACAGGCACTTTCCCCAGTTAGCCCTTATCATTCCAGACTGTTTTCTTTTTTTTGGTTCATGTAACAGGGTCAGGGATGAAACTATAATGAGATTTTTTTTTTCATGTAATTAGGTCACGGATGAAATTGCAATGAACCAAAATTATAGTCACAAAAATATCTCCAATATCCTTAAAAAAAAAAAAAAAGCAAGCACGTATTCCTTGCTTCATGTCTCTCCCGGCGTTTACTGTTTGCCTGTTTGCCAGATAGTTTTAGGATTACAGTAGTGCCTCAAAACAATTTCTCTAGGGATGGAACTCATTAACATATCTAATCCGCAAAAGCATAAGCATGGGCCCCACTCAATAGCAGATCAACCAACCAGTTCATG